GCCTCCTAGTGAGGAGACAGACGTTCACTGCTGTGTCAGGTGTGAATGGGGTTGGAGAAAGGGAGTTGAGAAGGACTTCCCAGAGAAGAGACCGCTGACGGCAGACCTGAGGGTTATAAGCCAGGGAGTCACATGGATAAGGGACATCGGGGGAGGGGAGCAGGGTGGAGGCAGGAGAAATGGCAACTGTCTTGCCCACTCTATTTATGTTGCACTCACTTGGCAGAAGCTTGTCCTGGTTAGATCCAGCTCTCCACCTACCTCACGCCCACATCTGTGCAACTGAACCTTGGCTAGAGAAAAACACGCCACTGTGCTGGCTGGCCTCATTGAAATCCATGCCCCAGATCTCAGGGTTGGGGTTGGGAGCCAAGGGGAAGTTTCCATGCTTCTCCAGGCCATTCACTCTCCCCCTCCCCTAGATGGCAGGTTCCCAACAGCAATTTCCCTGGCCTCCCTCTCAGCTAACTCTCCTTACTTCCTCTTTCACTGAGGAAATTAAAGTAATCAGAAGACCTACGTACCACTCTAAGATTCCGATGCCTTAGATACCTACCTACCTGAATCTTGCCCACCTCCTTTCTATTACAACATTGATGAAATAGGCAGTGGAGCCCAGCCCTCTCTGCTACTCGGGCATGTCCCTCCGAACATTCCCTTCTCTCTCTCCTCCAAGAGCAATTCTCCTCCCCCAACTCCCACCTACCTCAGTGGGCCATTCCCATTGGCATAGAAACATGTACCATTTCCCATATTGGAAAAAAAAAATCGAAAAAAGCCTCTCTTGATGGCATTTCCCCCTCTATTCTGCTTTACCCAACAAAACTCCTGAGGAGAGCTATTTAGATGTCTGTCTCCAACATGGGCTCCTTCCATTTGCTCTTCTTCAAGTCTGTGCTCAGTGAGACTGTCCCTGACCGGTGCGTTCAAAATGGCGTCCCCTCCTCATCCTCTTCCTGGTTTCATCTTTCGCCGCCTCTCTCCTCACTTTCTCATGTCCTCCATGAGCCATGTATCTGCTTTGTTTATTGTCTATCCTGCCCCATTGGGATGTAAGTCCAGACAGGACAGGCATGTCTATTTTGTTCACTGCTGTATCCTCAGCACCTGGAAAAGGGCCCAGGGCATCCTAGGTGCTCAGTAACGTTTGTTCAGTGAGTGAATGAAAGCAAGGTGAGGGCATGAGCCAGGGATGGTGAGGAAGCCAGTGTGGCTGGAGTGGAGGAAGAAGGGGAGATAGAGGGAAATTAGGAGGGAGGCACAGGTGGCAAGAGGCCCGATCACATGGGGTCAAGGGGAGGATCTTGTTCTCAGCGTGGTTTGGGATGCTGCTGGAGGGTTTGGAGCTGAAGAGGTGTAGGACTTGATGGATGTTGCCGAGATTCTAGGCAGGTCAGGTTGAAAATACCACATTTCACAAGTGTGTTCACGGGTGGGCACTTTTAAAAGGGAGAGAAGGGTGGGGGAGGGGCAGAGGGAGAGAGAGAATCTTAAGTAGGTCCCTCGTCCAGGACGCAGCCTGACACAGGGCTTTATCTCATGACCCTGCAATCATGACCTGAGCCGAAATCAAGAGTGGGACGCTTCACTGACTGAGCCACCCCAGGCACCCTGAAGGCGGGTATTTTTTACATCCGTATGCTCATGAAAATAAGCTTCAAGACTAAAGGAAAACTGCATGTTGATAATAGCTTTGGTCCTCCAGGCAGGGCCATGGGGAATGATCACTGCCTTGGAACAGCTTTCCTGGTGAAACAGAATGTGGGACATTTCTCACCCAACAAAACAAAACATTATCGGTAAACGCGAAAACAAAACTATCCATGCGCTGCCTACTGATGGATAAAAATATTGAGCTTTTCAGTATTTTTGCTTTTTAAACAACTGATGCGCAAGGATTAACACATATTTTGAGATTCTAATCAACAGATGTTTCCAAGCACACAGAACAGACAAAACTGGCCTACAGTAAATAATCACGGCTGGGATTCTAAATGTTGGGCACAGAATGGGGAAATATGTCTGTCTTTTAAATATTAAACAGCAGTGGTTAAATATCCAGTGGGCTGCTGGCCATGTCTGAGTACCCCTTCCTAGTCGTATATTATGTGATTTGAAGCTCACGGGATGCCATCTTTATAAGCTGCTTTGTAAAGGTATAAGGTACTCCACGGACCGAGAGGGGACAAGCCAGTCTGGTGAGAAAATATGCAGATGGTGGGTTCAGGTGTCTGTGTTTAGTTGGTGGAGAGGGTGCAGTAGCTTCTAGAACTGCAGTGGGGATGGGGAGTAAAACTCATGGCTTCTGAGCCCTCCAGGCAAGGCAAAATGAGGGTTAGAGTGGGGAGCAGGTAGGGACCAAGGATTCTGGGCCCAGGCACTGCTGCCAAGTTAGCATGAAAAGAGAAAACTGGTTTACAAGAAGCCCTGGCAGGTGTTTGTGACTCTAGTACCAGGGTTCCAGCTGTTAGAACTGAACACCCAGGAAGTTGGCTCTGGGCTTGTCGGTCTTGACACAGGGATGGCCACGTGCTCCCAGCACTTTGTCAGCTGCATCCCCAATACTCGGGGGTCGGGGAAAATGGGCCACAGCTTGCTTGCTTGCTTTCTCTTTTTTTTTTTAAGATTTTACTCATTGAGAGAGAGAGAGAGAGAGAGCACAAGCGGGGGGAGCAGTAGGAGAGGGAGAAGCAGGCTCCCCGCCAAGCAGGGAACTCAATGTGGGGCTCAATCCCAGGACCCTGGGATCATGACCTAAGCCAAAGGCAGATGCTTAACCGACTGAGCCACCCAGGCGCTCCCTACCGCCCCCCCCAGCAACCAGTGTTTAATAAGCTCCCTAAGGAATTCTGATGCATGTTCAAGTTTGGGAACCACAGGTTTAGACCAGTTCCAGGTGATGCTGATGCAGCTGGCTCCAAGACCATACTCTGAGAATCACTGTTCTAGAAAGTTCATAAGCCTATCACTCACTTTGTGAGGAAGCCCAGTTATTAATGAATAAGTATTACATGAATACATAAGGACTGTTTAATAATAATGATCTCTGAACAGGGGGATTGTGGGCAACTTTTCAAAAGTTTATGTATCCTTGTATTGTTCAAAGTTGCTGTCACAAACAGGTATTACTTTTGTAGATAAAAACATTAAACGGCTTTGTAAAAGTAAAAATACCTCATCCTATATAGTTCTCTACTGCAGTGCTTTTTCCACTGTTGTGCAAACAGAGCACCGAGGAATCGTGTTAAAATGAAGATTTTAAATGGAGGGGGTCGTGAATTTCTGTATTTTCAACAAGCTTCCTGGTAATTATACACAAAGCACTTTTATGTATATTACCTTATTTGTTCCTTACCACGGTCCTGGCAGACAGTCACTAAATCACCTTTTCAACCATCAGGAACTATGTACCAGTCATTGGGCATACAGATAACAGTCTAAGGAGGCGGAAAACCAACCGCCCACCAAACACACTGCATGTCAACAGATAAAGAATAATAAATAGTGATCAAGACCGATCAGAAAATAAAGAGAGTGCCTAAAAGGAAGGCCTCTAGGAGGAGGTGATTTCAGCAGACATGGGAAGGATGAGCCACGTTAAGTTCAAGGTCAGGCTCTGGGCAGACACCAGGAAGCTCCTGCGGCTGGAGCACAGTGGTGGAAGGCTCCCATATCAGGTTGGGGAAGGCCCTGGTAGGGAGCTGATTTCAATCTAAGCCCGGGAAAGCATTGAGGGTTTAAGCAGGAAGTGACTTGTCTGGTATTTGCCTTAGGATCACTCTGGCTGCCTGTGTGCGCAATGACACCTCTCCAGGGTCACCTCGGAGTTGGTGCAGAGAGCGCCGGGCCATGCGGGGGCGCCCTGGAGTCAGGCCCGGCGCCCCCCGCGGTTGCGCGGACCGGGGGGTCGGGTTCAGGAATCCCCATATGAATGAGGAGTCACCAGGGTGCGTGTTTTTATTGCTGCGCTGAGCGCTTTAAAGGCGCGCGCTCCGGGGAACAATGTGACTTTTTTTTCTCTTCCCCCTTCCAGAGGACCTGGGCACCCACGTTGGCATCTCGGACTCTACCCCTTCTATGCCTTAGTCTGCCCACCTGTTAAAGAGAACTTCGGGCCAGCCCCGGGTGAGATCCCAGGCCTCCGATCGCGCACCTCGGGCAAGCCGGGAGGCTGGCACGGCTCGGGCGGAGGCGGCCTCGGGGGCGCACGGGGTTGCCTGCTCCCCCCGCCCCGGGAAACTGAGGCACGGTGGGGCGAGGAGCGCGGGCCCTCGAGACTCCCGCAAACTCCCAAGCGGCACGTCGCGGGCCCCCGCGGGCCGCCCGGGCCACCCGCGGAGGCACCCCACCCCTCCCTCTCGCCCAGCGCGGCCAGAGGCGGGGCGGG